GTCCCAAGTGCAGGACTCTACACTTGTCCTTGTTGAACCTCATCAGATTTCTTGTGGCCCAATCCTCCAATTTGTCTAAGTCACTCTGGACCCTATCTCTGCCCTCAAGTGTATCTACCTCTCCCCCCAGCTTAGTGTCATCCGCAAACTTGCTGAGGGTGCAATCCATCCCCTCATCCAGGTCATTAATAAAGATATTGAACAAAACCGGTCCTAGAACCGAACCTTGGGGCACGCCGCTAGAAACCGACCGCCATCCTGACATCGAGCCGTTGATCACTACCCGCTGGGCCCGGCCTTCTAGCCATCTTTCTATCCATCTTACCGTCCATTATCCAATCCACAATCCCTTAACTTGCTGGCAAGAATATTGTGGGAGACCGTATCAAAAGCCTTGGTAAAGTCAAGGTGTATCACATCCACTGACTTCCCCATGTCCACAGAGCCAGTTACCTCACATCATGCCCCACCCCAAGCCCTCACCACCTCATGGAGCAGTGGAACAGCGCTCCAGTGGCAATACTAAGGTGCTCAGGGCTCCATCCACCGCAGCTGCCACAGTACAGGAGCTCTGGGTCCCTTTGAATATCCAGGCCTGGGGGAACTGCCCCTTTAATGTCCCCATCAGTGTCTGTGATCCCTGATTAAGGCTATAGACCCCCTGAGCCCTTTAACAGATCACACCACAAGCAGCTCCTTCAATATCACCCGAAAGGGGCAGCGTGTGTCGTGCACGAGCTGAGATGGATCCTGGTTGACCGGTGCAAGTTTGGGGCAGATCCGTGGCATAGGTGGTATTAAAAAAATCCTTTGAAGAGCAACTTGTTTTTGCAAATGCTGCCTCCAAACCCCCGGTTCAGATTTGGAACACGAATGTTACCTACCTGCCCCAGGAGGTAGGGCACATTTTTAAGCCCTTGGAATACAGGAAGCTTGGCTGGGCAGGATTCATTTAAAATAATGTGGTGGATAATTCTGATGTTCATTGTTAAGCAAATGTGAATGTTGTTTTCTAGCAGAAGATTTACCCGGCGTTGCTCAAGTCCCTACATCGAATACGTTTTGTTTCTCTTCATTTAAATCATTGCTCTGGGGTGGGGCTGGAGAGGAGAGGTTCGAGAATCAGGCTGCCCTGGGGAGAAAGGACTACCCCGGCCTGCTCTCAGCCCAGCAGCTTGGGGTCAGGTGAGAAGAGCCTCTCCATGGCTGCAGTGGGCACAGCCGGGGGAAGGATGTCTGTCCTCTGGCTGGGGGACAGACAGACACAAAGGCAGACAAAACTCTCCAAATATATTGTAGATAGCTGTCCTTTACTGCACCTCTGCCCCTGCTAGCCCAATGGGATTATACTTGCCCCGGTCCCTATCTCTGGCCTCTTGCTGCCCTCTTGTGTCCATTCTGCAGTACAACTGTCCCTACTGCCGGACCCTTCCCATTCGCATTTGTTGGTCCTGGCTCTTACCGTTTAGAAGGAGTTCTTGAACCATCGGACTCACAGACAGACAGACACATAGAGAGACACTCACATTCCAAAATCATATAGTAAGGTTTTATTATGGTCACAATAGTGCAAAGTTATGAGCAAGTCAGATAATGGGGTGGAGTTTAGACAATCATTGACCAATGACAGCCGAGCTTGGGATTGTATAACGGCTATGCCACAAACGGCCCTTTCACGTGTCAAACTACACACCGTAAACTTCTTAAAAACAAACTGCAACCCGCTCCCAGGCCTCATGTTTGTGGGTTTGGGCGTGAATGGGGAAATCAGTATTTACCGACATCAATAAAAATCAAATCCTTCCAACCCTAACTGTAGCATAGTTTGCTATCACAACAACATTAGCTAATTATGGGGGGGAGGGATGAATCGAATGAATACAGAACCTGATGGCATTCTGGGGAAATAAGATGCAGCTGCCAGGGACTATCCCGGACTAGGCTGTGTTCCCCATAGTTGTGCTTATCTTGACCTTGACCTAACAGGACAGGGAGTGCCCTCAGTTTCCACTGAGTGTATGGAGAGCTCTGGGTGGTCTGTATTGCATAAGAACCAATCCTTGGGATGCATGGACACCATGGGCTATGTCTACACTGGCACCCTTTTCCAGAAATGCTTAAAACGGAACAGTTTTCCGTTATAAGTATTTCTGGAAAAAGTGCGTCTACATTGGCAGGATGCTTTCCGGAAAAGCGTCCGTAGCCAATCTAGACGCGCTTTTCCGCAAAAAAGCCCCGATTGTCATTTTCGCGATCGGGCTTTTTTGCGGAAAACACTACTGTGCTGTCTACACTGGCCCTTTTCCAAAACAGTTTTCCGGAAAAAGGACTTTTGCCCGAACGGGAGCAGCATAGTATTTCCGGAAAAATGGCTGATTTCTTACAGTAGATCGTCACTGCTTTTCCAGAAATTCAAGGGGCCAGTGTAGACAGCTGGCAAGTTATTCCAGAAAAGCGGCTGATTTTCCGGAATAAGTGGCCAGTGTAGACACAGCCCATGTGCTTTCTCTACCGTATAATCGTGAGATCCGATTGCAGAGCGATGCCGTTTGGATATCGGCAAAGTACGGATCTCTGCAGCGGGAAGGACTCAAGGCAGCTAGTCACACAAGGTCTCCAGAACCTCCATTGGACAAATGGGGAAACTTAGGTCCAGAGAAATGAAGTCAACCTTCCCTGGATCCTAGTGAAAAAAACATGGAAGAGAAGCTACGTCTCTCCATGCCATTATCACAGTTCTCACATATTTTCCTTCCTATCCCAGCTATCTACTCCATTTCTTACACTGCTATTGGGCACCGGGAGGTGAGTTTCATCTCACAGTGCCTATGCACATTGAAGAAGACAGACCCTAGGAAATATTGAGCATCTGTGGCAATCCATGCAAAAGCCCAGCACAGAAGACTATGTATCCCCATGGAATTACATAGTGTAAAATGATGGAGACTCATGAGATGAAAGTTCTCTGCCTCACTGACAAGTGTTTTAAAGCAGTGATACATATCCAATACATCAAACCACAAAGACCCGCAGCACCAAGCCCAGCCAACAGAAATATCAGCCCCAATATTGAGTGTAAGCTATGGTGGCCACTGAACATAAGAACTTAAGAACGACCAGACTGGGTCATACCCAAGGTCCACCTAGTGTCCTGTCTGCCAACAGTGGCCAACACCAGGTGCCCCAGAGGGAGTGAACAGAACAGAGAATCATCAAGCAATTCCACCCATTGCCAGCTTGTGACAAACAGAGGCTAGGGACACCTTTCCTGCCCATCTGGCTAGTGGCCATTGATGGACCTAACCTCCATGAATTTATCTAGCTCTTTTTCCAACCCTGGCCTTCACAACATCACTGCTTGCCCACAAAGCCAGAGAGCCTGCGAGGCATTACAACACATCAACTTATTCCCATTTCAGATGCCCTGAACAAAAAATTACCACAGGAAGGTCTGAATCCTTTTGACAACAGAGAATTTAGGGGCAACTTTTCCCCAGGCCGCTTTGACCTCTCTGTTCCTCAGGCTGTAGACGAGGGGGTTGACCAGGGGAGTCAGGACTGTGTAGAAGATGGAGAACACTTTGTTCAGGTCTCGCAGGGTGTCCGTTTTGGGGAGCAGGTAGACAATCATTATGGCCCCATAGAAAACTGACACCACGATGAGGTGGGAGGAGCAGGTGGAAAAGGCCTTTCTCTTCCCCGTGGTGGACGGGATCCTCAGGATGGTGGTGATGATGCAGACGTATGTTGCCAGCGTTATGAGAAAGGGCGGGAGGGTGCACACAGCAGCTAGGGCGGTCGTGACCAGCTCCATCATGCGCGTGTCATCGCAGGTGAGTTTTATGATGGGGAGGAAGTCGCAGAAGAAATGGTCAATTTCATTGGGGCCGCAAAAATCTAACCGTTGCATTAAAAATATAGTAATGTCAATAGCCAGAGAACTACTTAGCCACATGGCAACGGAGAGCTGAAGGCAAGACCTGCCATTCATAAGGGTGGCATAGCGCAGCGGTTTGCAGATCGCTAAGTACCGGTCATAAGACATGGCTGCCAGAAGATAACACTCTGCAGCTGCCAGGAAACCAAAGAAATAATATTGCGTGAGGCATCCAGGGATGGAGATGGTCCTGTCCCTGGTCAGGAGACCAGCCAGCAGCCGGGGCAGGATGGTGGAGCTATAGCAAATCTCCAAGCAGGACAAGTTCCCCAGGAAGAAGTACATGGGGGTGTGAAGGTGCCGATCAACCACCACTAGCGCAATGATGAGGAGGTTCCCGGCCACAGTCACAACGTAGATGAAAAGAAACAGCAAGAAGAGAAAAAATCTCAGCTCAGGGAGATTCCCAAATCCCAGCAGGATGAACTCTGTGACCACTGTTTGATTCCCCGACTCTGGGTTGGCCATGAGATGCAACTAGGGGAAAGAAAACAAAGTCCGCAAGAGAATGCGGAGATGATACATTTTTTCATCAAGCATTAGCGTCGGTCACAATTTAGCCCCGTAAATATTCCACAAGGCCCCTCATCCTGTAGGTTCAGTGAAGAACCAAGACATTGGAGGCAAATTTTCTGGTATCTCACCCCCTCCTTGGATCTTTGAGCTTCCACCATCACCCGAATTCCTTCCGTGATGGGGTAAATGATGTAGAGTCATCCAAAAGGAAACTACATGGGGGCGGTGGGATGCATAAGGTGACATTTGCCTCCCTGTCTTGCATGATCTCTTTTTAACGCAGTTGCATTTGAAAGATTGGCTTACCTTACGGGCGGCATAGAAGAAGCAGGTGTGTTTCAGAGAGCAGGTTCTTGACTCTGTCGTTGCTCTTTTATCTACACACCCTGTTTTAGTTGTCACAAGTTAGTGGGTATGTGTAGCTACACACCACAGTGAAAAGCAGTAATGATACCTGCATAGTCCTGGCTCGACATCCCTAGTTGTGCTGAGACTTTTCAACAGCTTCACCATGTACCTCTCACCAGAAAACGGACGACTCTCCTGAGTCAATATGTATCCTGCAGACTCCACAAGCGAATGATCCCTTGAGACTCCACTAATGAGCATTTTAAATTAGAGGAAAGGAATAATCAATCCAATGTTTTGTTCCTTTGTGAGCGTGGGCCACAGGTGAATAGAATTGTACTTTGGGCCAAAACGGGGATGGAGTAGAGCAGGAGAAAGCTTCAGGACTCAAACAACTTTATTATTAGAAGTCCTAGACATGGACTGGGACTCTCCATACTAGAGGCTGAGCAAACACAAAACAAAAAGATGGTCCCTGGTACGGGTCACACTCACTTTGGCCTGATGACATTCTTGTATTGACTCGTTAAAAATCTGCCCTGCCAAAGACAGCGAGATTTGCAATTATCCTGTAATCCCCTGGTCAGCGCACCCATGTAGAGAGTGGGGACACCATGCTCCAACACTACATCTAGATTGGCATGATTTTCCGGAAATGCTTTTAACAGAAAAGTTTTCCGTTAAAAGCATTTTTGGAACAGAGCGTCTAGATTGGCACGAATGCAGGACAATGTAGCACTTTAAAGACTAACAAGATGGTTTATTAGATGATGAGCTTTCGTGGGCCAGACCCACTTCCTCAGATCAAATAGTGGAAGAAAGTAGTCACAACCATATATACCAAAGGATACAATTAAAAAAATGAACAAATATGAAAAGGACAAATCACATTGCAGAACAGAAGGGGGATGCGGGGGGGTGGGAAGGGGGAGGAAGGAAGGTAAGTGTCTGTGAATTGCTGATATTAAAGGTAGGGAGAGTGGGATGTTTGTGAGTTAATGGTATTACAGGTGATAATTGGGGAAACTGTCTTGATAATGGGTGAGAAAGTTCAAAGACTTGTTAAGTCCCTGGTGGTAAGTGTCGAATTTTAACATGAATGACAGTTCAGAGGATTCCCTTTCAAGTGCAGATGTAAAAGGTCTTTGTAGCAGAATGCAGGTGGCTAAGTCATTTAGAGAGTGTCCTTTCTGGTTAAAGTGGCAAGAAACTGTTTTCTCTTTGTGATCTTGTCTGATATCTGTTTTGTGGGCATTAATCCTTTGGCGAAGTGTCTGAGATGTTTGGGAAGGAGCCCTGGGCTGTTGCAGGTTGATGACTCAGCACCTGCCGTCCGCAATAACTGGACTTTAGGTAAAATGTAGGATAATGTAGCACTTTAAAGACTAACAAGATGGTTTATTAGATGATGAGCTTTCGTGGGCCAGACCCACTTCCTCAGATCAAATAGTGGAAGAAAATAGTCACAACCATATATACCAAAGGATACAATTTAAAAAAGTGAACACATATGAAAAGGACAAATCACATTTCAGAGCATCCCCCTTCTGTTCTGAAATGTGATTTGTCCTTTTCATATGTGTTCATTTTTTTAGTTGTATCCTTTGGTATATATGGTTGTGACAATTTTCTTCCTCTATTTGATCTGAGGAAGTGGGTCTGGCCCACGAAAGCTCATCATCTAATAAACCATCTTGTTAGTCTTTAAAGTGCTACATAGTCCTGTATTTTGTTTCAGCTACACCAGACTAACACGGCTACATCTCTATCACTATTCTACATTGAATGAGATGACACTAGAGTTAACATTTAATCAATCCTTATGAAATTAATTCCATCGAGATTCAGAATCTGCCCTTTCTCTTCTGGCTTCTTGCTGAATTTTTAAGGCTACATATAGTCTCCCAAGCTAAGGGCCAAGAGTAACGTTCTCTCATCTTTTCCATCCATGTACGGAATTTTTCCATCCCTGTGCAGAATAAAATTATTATGTGCACCGAGGCATGTGTCAATGTGCACCAGCAACAGAAACACAAAATCTAGCTTTGAGCACTCCACTGATCAGGTGCAAAGCTTTTGATGTTTCTCCTGACTGACCACACAGGCACTCAGCTTACAGGGAACACAGGACAAGAGTCTCACCTTGAGAAGAGTTCATAGACCATCCTCTCTTAGAATAGGCATGCCTCATAGGCAAGTCCATTCCTCAAATAGCCAGGCGGTGGTCTAACTGGCCACACCAGTTCTTTTTTTTTGGTGTCCTATCCCATACAGTAACATACTGGAGTGTAATGAAGCTGCTTTTCATATCAAGAAATAACCAGAATCATGATATGTCTTTAGAGTCAAAATCATCACATGAATCAACTAAATCCATGGACTAAGAGTAGGCACCTCACATCTGTAGTCACCCATCTTCTGTTGAAATTAGTTTAATTCATCTATACTCCTAATCATTTTTGTGGTCCTTTTCTGAACCTTTTCAAATGCCAATATATTGGCAATGCCCTTCTTTCCAAGGACAATAAGATATTCTCTGTCTTATTCGCTATCACTTTTTTAATGATTCCTAACATTCTGTTTGCTTTTTTGGCTGCGATGGCAGAATGAGTGGATGTTTTCAGAAAACTCTCCACAGTGACACCAAGAACTCTCTCTTGAGTAGTTGTAGCTAAATTAGTCCCCATCACAGTGTATGTAGAGTCGGGATTCATTTCCCCATGTGTATTACTTTATATTTATCATCATTATATTTCATTTGCCGCTTTGTTGCCCAATCACTCAGTTCGGTGAGATCTTTTTGAAGCTGTTCACAGTCTGCTTTGGTCTTAACTATCTTGAGTTCACTTTTTTTGTTTTTATTTATTTATTCATGTTTATATTTGGCCTTCACCTGTTTAAACCTTTCTCCCACTTGGTTCATTTGATGGCTCCAAAGATTTGTCGCTAACAATGCCCATTGGGACTGGAACAATGCAACCTCAATAATTGTGTGTCCTGTAAAGTCAAATGAACCGACACAGAAACTATTTTAGATCTTGGTAAAATGCCACCTTGGAGTTTTGGCAAATGCCTGTCACACTTGTCTCTCTGAGTCATTGGACAGAGTAAACAATCCTTCTCCCACCTACTTAAATATGAAAAACATAAGGAAACTGAGGCACATACGCCATTCAACAAATCATTATGAAAAAATCCCACTTTGTCACATCTGATAGAAACAAAGAATCATAGAGCTGGAAGAGACCTCAGGAGTCATCAAGTCCAGCCCCCTGCCCAAAGCAGGACCAATCCCAACTCAGTCATCCCAGCCAGGGCTTTGTCAACATGAGACTTAAAAACCTCTAGGGCTGGAGATTCCAATGCCTCCCTAGATAAACCATTCCAGTACTTCACTACCCTCCAGGTAAAATAGTTTTTCCGAATATCCAACCTAGACCTCTCCCATTGTAACTTGAGACCATTGCTCCTCGTTCTGCCATCCATTACTACTGAGAACAGCTTTTCTCCATCCTCTTTCGAACCCCCCCTTCAGGGAGTTGAAGGCTCCTCTCAAACCCCCCTCACTCTTCTCTTCTGCAGACTAAACAAACCCAAATCCCTCAGCCTCTCCTCATAGGTCATGTGCTCCAGCCCCTGAATCATTTTGG